GCGTGTATGTGTGCATGTGTGTGTGCGCCTGTGTGTGTGTGCATATTCATGCGTGTGTGTGTGTGTGTGTGTGCATGCATGCGTGAGTGCATGTGTGCACGCGCATGTGTGTGTGTGTGTGTGTGTGTGTATTCCCAGTCCCATATTTGACACACATTGCAGATGCTAAGAGAAGCTGCTAATCAATCTAAGTGTTTTATTTATGAGTCCATGTTTTGTTTTTGTTTGTTTGTCTGTTTTGTAAACATTCATGTCGCTCTGAGTCAGCGACGCCCTGTTTTCTTGTCAGAACAACCCGTTTAAGACCTCTCCTCTGTCTTCTTCTCTTTTCGCCACAGCTTTGATATCAGCTGGCTGCTGCACCAACAACTGTAGAAATGTCAAGCTATGGGACAGGTAACCATAACCCTTTCATGTTCATTAGAGTCTTTAAAGCACGAAGAGCAGCAAATGAAGGTCATTGTCTGTTCTTCTCACAGGGGTCCATAATCCGGTAATGAGCTCCCATTATTCTATTTAACCAGGCAGCGTGCTTCTTCAGCTGACATCATGAAGCCTATTCACTTCGTGTTGCGCTGGAGGGATTTACATGAAATAATAGAAGCTCAGTCATTTATGGAAACACGCCTACCTAACTCTCAGGCTGATGGCTCGGTAATAAACAAAGCTGTGATTCTTGCTGCAGCGTCACTTTAAGTGTTTGTTCAGCCTAGCGCCTACAGATGTGTAGTTATGCATGGCTGGCTCAGGTGCAATCAGTGGGTTTATAGCAGGACTACAGAATTAGAGGTGACCCTATCCTGAGCCTACGCCCTCAATCTGGCCTCAGCAGGAGGCTGCGTTCATGTATAATGAATGCAGGACAAGGCGGTCGCCACCGTCAACGTCTGCTGTCGCAAAACACAGATGCTGGTGAAGATTCCCAGCAAAGAACCTTTTTCAGAAGATATGTTTTTTTTTTCAATAGTATTTCGATGCTTTCCTCCATTAAGTAGCTTAAAGTGAGGCAAACAAGAAAGAGAACACAAATTTTGTGTCAGGAGATGATTTGCAAGCTTAGAGAAAGATAACAAGTCAGGTCTCAAAGAGGTCCCCTAAAGCTGGGCGACTTTTTCACTATTTTCAGCCGATTTTCCTCTCGTGCGAGAATCTTCAAGATGGGGGACAAACGTCATTAGTAATTAAGGTCTATTAGAGCGCGAGTTTTGCGCTGATCGTCGTGTATTATACAAGGTGTTACGAGAGACAATTAACACCAGGTAACCAGCTACTGATCAGCAATCGTAAACTCGCACAAATTTCTGGCATGTTTGATATTTTGCTCGTTCCTTGTGAGCGTATCGCACTGTTGAAGCGGCGCTGTCACCCAACAAGTGCCAGAATCGCTCACGACACATGCGCAAACATGCGTCAACATGGCTCGCCAGCCATTTCCCCATTAACACACATCTTTGTTTTTATTTTTACACTTTTTTTCGCACACATTGACAAAAATTGTCTAGAAAGCGTGTTTATGTAAAGCTAGCCAGCAAGTGATAGCTGACAGACACTCTATTAGTTCAGACAGTTTACAGAACTCAGAGTCCCTGAAGGAGCAGTACAGCTGAATGTCATCTGCATAGAGGTGATAAGAGACAGAATCAATTATCTGTCCGAGAGGGTGCAAGTATAGTAGAAACCAGAGTGGACCCAAAACAGAGCCTTGGGGTACTCCACTGAAAAAAATTCGACAGCATCTGACATTATTTGGTTTATATAGACACTGAAACTTTTTTGTATGTTGCTTTTAATGTGTGATGAATGTTTTAGATTTATTTTCCTGCTATTTTTCTTTTATTGGCTATATTGTAGGAGGACCCGGTTGAAAACGAGATGGCTCATCTCAAGCGGTTTTATCCTCCTGAAATATAACTTATCAAATAAATAAATAAACTATTGCTAGAAAGGTATGATCGGAGCCGGTCCAGAACAGTTCCAGAGATCCCCACCGAGTCATGGTCTGTTATTTAAAGAGCAAGTCACCCTCAAATCCACGTTTATGGCCTATAAACTATATAAATGAGTGTCTAATCGTGCTGTAGACATGTGCAGTCAATACTTTGGCACTTTAGTGCATCTTAGTTAAAATGTAAATAATCTGCCTAAAACAGTCAGTGCTAGGGTTTGGGTTCCCCTAATCCTAATCCTTGTTCTAGGGCAGCTTTTAGTTTGTCTTAACCTGCTTTCTCCGGAGTTTAGTTAGTCAGAACTGTGTGAGCTTGTTTAGGGGGAAACTCGAGCTTCGCTGCTGCTGCTTCACACGTGACTGCACACCCCACATAACCTATCAAGCATAACCCACCAATCTGGGCGGCCTCATTTTTCATAACTATAACGTTATGGCATCAAGCTTTACAGGGTAAAGTTGGCGTGCAACCGAACAAAAAAAATCAAAGAATGTGCACATTTGAAGGGAAAACTCCAGCGTTCATCAGATCCAGCGTCCCTGCCGCAGCACGATGGCTGCAGACGGGTCTTAAACAGGTGTCTCCAGAGCTAATGCATCTATTTGACTTGGAAATGGGCTCAAAACAGAAAGAAATACAACATTTGCTGGAGAAATATTGATTTATAAAGGGAAAACTGAAATGAAAATATGGGATGTTTTGTATTTCTTTGTTGGTGGGCAGTGGTTTAGATTTTATACAGATCTGGTAACGTGCTATTATAAAGTAGCTTCAGGATGAGACAAGGCTGGATTTAAACTACAAACTCCTGCAGCGAGGGAGCGATTGTGTTGGATTAACGGGTTAAACCGAAGTCTCTCTGCTGCTCGAGTCAGGTTTGAGGTGACCTATTTTTAGCGTGTGAAGCTTGTGGTCAAGCCTATCGAAAAGGCTCTGCTGGAGATGAGAGCTGCAGTTTTATGAGAGTACAGCCTCTCTTTGCTGCTTTTTTACATTTCTGCCTTCTGCAGCTTTGCTGGAAGCTAATTACATTTGTCTTGTTCGGTTTCATGCTTTGCTGACTCTTTGCACCGCAACAAGACAAACGTCATTAGTAATTAAGGTCTATTAGAGAATTAGGGTGAAATAACGTGTGACGAACACTTCACTGTAACAATCTCATTTTGCTTTAATGGGAAACACAATCAGTTCAAACCAAACGACCTGTGAGAGCCAATCACATCACACCCTACATCGTTAATCCAAACAACCAAATGTCAGCAGCTTCATGTTTGTCATTTTAATTATTGATCTACGAGAAAATTCATCCAAATCAACAAGCAAAACTACAAAACTAACCTCCACACCCCAAACTACATATGCAGGCGCTGAGGGTGTTTCTCAATGTCAAGGAGCCTTGCTTACGAGGACACGGTCCTTCCTTGGTCAAAGAAAACGGTTAAATGGAACAGACTTGCATCACGTGACCGCGGCTTCCACGGCGGTCACGTAACGTCACGTGACATGGGAGATAACGTTATATTTTATACGTATTAGTTTCAATACAAATATATAATGAGACTTTTACTTTTTAAATTGTGTAAATGTTTATTAAATTAAAAGTATAAGCGAGTTACTACCCGCTAGCCACCGAAGCTGCAACTACTAAGCAACTAACCAACCATAGATAACTTCTTTGGATCTAAAAAACATTTTTAATTAGTTGACTTACTTTTAAACTTGAAAATTGTCCCCGACGTAGCTGCCGGCTTCTGATCCGCCGTCCTTTTCAAAATACCGCAGTGTATTGTGGGTAATTTTTGACCAAGGCTAGGCTACAAGACACCTCCCGTGTATACTCGCTCAGCTAGCTAAACGGCTAACAAACGGAGAACACACGCCTCGGTAGAACATGAACATTGGAACACGTCTTGGCGGCTCCTGATGACGTATCTCCTAGGCAACCGGGACGGGGCCAAGACATCAAGGCGAGGTTCCTTGGCATTGAGAAACACCCTTATTGTCATTCGAGATTCAAGATGGCTACCACAGCTAACTGACATTAGCAAACCCAAGAATGGCTCTAACTGTCACAGTTTGCAGCTAGGAGCGGTCAGGACTGAGAGACATTCACTTAAAGATGTTTTAATAAATAAAGGAAATAAGATTTGGGAGCTAAAAAAATAAAAATCACTACAGGAGGAGCAAAGTAGGGTCTGCAGGAAACTGGAGACATCGGTGTAGGACAGTCCATGGGCTTTTGGATTTCAGAGCTGGGAGGGTGATTAGAGGGCGGGGCAGCTGGGAGAACAGGTGAAAGGTGTGCAAGGTGCTGAACGACTGAGAGAATAGGAAAGTATAGAACAGGGGTGCCCAATCCTGCTCCCGGAGGGCTGGTATCCTACATGTTTTAGCTGTTTCCCTGCTTCAACACACCTGATTTTAACCAGCAGGTGATTCTGCAGAACCCGGCGAGCTTCTGAACAGGTGATTCAACCACTGAGTCACCGAATCAACCCCAAAATAAAAGAAAACGAATCAGTCAGTTTTACACAAGTGGAGCTAAAGTTACGTGTGGAACTGGGGAAGCTTCATCGACCTGTTTAATTTTTACCTTTAGGTGAAGAAACGACACTGGACCTAGCCTTGTGTCGGTTAGCTAAACCTAAGGTAGCGCACGCAAGGCTGGCGTGACGGTTAGCGGCCTGCATTTAGCCACAACCCCCCAAGCCGCTTTACAACACAAACAGTCGTCCACACATTCACACCCTGGTGATGAGCTACCCATGTAGCCACAGCTGGATGTCGTCTGAAGGGACTTCACACAGTAAACGTTCCACTTGAACCTACTTATCAGTGCACTGAGTTCATTCATTATGCTAATTAGCCAAACGGTTCCTGTGTAAGGAACCCAGACTGACTGGAGTCTCGGGGGCGGGCCGACCCAGATGGGAACGCATCGTCAGATTGAGGATGTCCACCACCTCAGCAACACATCAAAGATTATAAATCTGCCAGTTCTAGACACGTTGAGCTAAAACATCTGTTCCTCCTGTGCTTCTCTGTCTTCTACAGCTTTGATGCGTCCTCTTGACACCGTGCCCAGCCACACCCCTTAAACAAGCCAGTGGTGGTAGTGGCGCAACCGTCCTGTGACTCTGGCCTTGACCGACTGCGGGATCCCCGGAAGCCGCCCTCCATGGCTCCGGACGGCCTGTAGTCCCAGGCGTCATCCATGTCCACAGCCTGCCTCCGTGTTTTTATTTCTACATATCAAGAGTCGGCGTGGATGCGGGCTTAGTGAATGATGTTTGGTTAAAGCGTGGTGGCTGAGTGGATCAGAGACAACGAGGACCGGTGAGGAGGAGAACAGGACACGGCTCTCTGCTGCTACCCTCTGTTTACACACAGATCATCGTTGGAGAAGCACAGAAACCCCCGGCCCACCACATTCCTTCTTTTCCACACACAACGCTCTTTATCTTCTCTAAATGCATCATGGTGTGTGTGTGTTGAGGCTGGTGTAATTTGATGTTCTGCGTCTCAGCCTCAAAGTCCAGACCGTCCACCTCCTCAGAACCCCTCCTGTCGGTCCAACTGAACCTAAACCAACTAAACATGTTCCTCAAAGATCCAGGCAAAGGAGTAAGAAAGCTCTTCCTGTGTCTTAAACCAAGATGGTCGACGTTATTAGCTGCTGACAGATGTTCTAGTTCTGCGAGATGCAATTATCAGGTGTGATCTTTTGTTTTTGTATTATTTTCTCTGCTCCCTTAAAGCGCCTATACTGAAGCTGGGAGGAAGTGATGCGTTTCTCTCTAATATTATTGTTTTTTATAAGGAAGTGAAGTCCAAGTACAAAGTAGATTATTGGATTAGTTTTCTATATATCTCTATATACAAATATAACATGATTATTATTTTTGACTTACTGGAATTAGAACTATTATATGAAAATGCATATGACAACTCAAGTAATAAACAGACCTGTTTATCTGAAGGTGCGTCATTTTTGTTTATGTTTATTTATTTAGCAGACGCTTTTATCCAAAGCGACTTACAGTTTATAACCTATAGGGTATGTTGTGATCTGTGGGGGAAACGGGGGTACCCGGAGGAAACCCACACATGCATGGGGAGAACACGCAACTCCACGCAGAAAGGCCGCAGCCGAGTTTCGAACCGGCAACCTTCGTGCTGCGAGGCAACAGTGCTAACAACTGTGCCACCATGCAGCGTCGTGTTCGTGTTGTTTTATTATGAAATCCTCCATCGTGCTTCTGTGATGTTATCCTGGTTTAAAAGCAGGAAATGCAACATTTTAAGGGACTGTGTGCAAACCAAACACTGAAACGTGACCCCTCCATGGGCGCTGCATCATCAGGACTCTCCACACCGGCTGTGCGACCCGAGTCACTTTCAAATCAGCAATAAATCAGAAGAAAGATCGGAAATGAGAGGATATTTACATTTAGTGACTCTTTCTTGGTGTGTTCACTAACAGAAGACAAAGGGTTGACCATGAAAGCCAACAAAAGCAGCTAACAGAAAAGCTTCTGACAGCGATCGTTTAGATCTTTTGTTGAGTTCTTTTAGAAAGTCACTTGAACAACCTCAGTTTGAAGAAACAGAGGTTAGCTCTGCATTTAAAGAACTACTTTTAAAGATTATTTCTGATTCTGACAGGTCACTCTGAGTGTTTCATGCAGGCTGAACATGAAATAGTCTCCTACACCTATCTGCTGCAGTAGCTTCTGATAGAAAACAGACAGTGTCGTCATTTGCATGTTTTTACTGTGTGGGCGTCGGACGAGCCCCCGCTCAGCTCTTAAGCCAATCTTAATCCGCGTACGTCACACGTCACGTGACCAGGAAGCAGAACATCCATGTGTTAGGAGATCGTTTTGGGCCGTTCCTGTAAAAAAAGGTGAGGCTTGAACCGGAAAAGCTTCTGCCCATCACAATTCGACAACGGATTATGAAAGAACGGATAACGCTCGAAATGCGCGGATTCTTCCTGATGTAAGAGGTGAGTCTTCGCTTTGTTTTGGTTGTTTTGGTGTCGACATCATCCTAGCATGCAACGTTCTGTGACTTAAAAAAACAGTAAAAACGACGAGAAACGCTGGCAGCGAATGAGTTAATTCACTTTTTTTGTGAAACTGAGAAAACATCAGTTGTCTGAGATGCAGCGTCTGAGCCACAGGTATAATCACAAAATTGTGGCAAGGCCTTTTGATGCAAACAGTGCAGTTAAAATTCCAGCATGTGATAAACAGCAGTTGCTGCTCTTATTTAGTGTGCATATACTGTCATGCTTCTTTCTCCAAGCCCTACAGCTAACCTGTACATGGTTTTATTTTAACTAACCACTTGTGAGTGTTGGCAGTTCGGAAAAGCAACATTTCTGCATGCAGCACGTCACACACCCTACCAGCTGACTGTCTGGTAGGAACCTGCGTGCACACATGCTCTATGAATGCCACTATTTGGCAGGTTTCTCTACTTCATCACACCTGATTTGAATCAGTGGGTGATTAACAAACTTCTGCAGAGAAACAACGAAGCATGCAAGATACTAATTGTCCAGGACTTAGCCTTTGGTTTCCTTTGAGCTACATTAATGGTTTAGGTAATGCATCTGCATTCATTTTTGTTGAAACTGCTCAGAAACCTAACTCTAATGATGACCGACTGCTCCCCAGAAGCTGCAGCTATCTCCATCCTCTGCTCAGGGTAAGTGTTCCTTTGCTTGTTGAGTGTTTGCCACATCAGATGGGCTATGGCTAAGGCAGGAGCCACCTGCTGTAAACAGATCAAAATTTAATATATGACAGGTTCTAAAATAGGTGCCAGCGCTAAAGGTGTTTGTTTCTGTTGTGGCAACATGCAGATATTAATGAAATTCTGCACCACCATGTCAAAAACTGTCTCAGGGTGGCAACCAGTGACAGCATAAAAGAACCCGAAGCTGATCTGTTTTGATCTGACTGCTGAGAGTCATTAGAGCTTGTTTATTGGGCCCAGAATCTCTGTTTAATGAGGATCTGTGCTGCGCTGGTGTTTGAATTACACAACTTGGCACTGCTGTCACAGATTGTGCTCCTGTGGGAGGCCCTGCTGGGCCAGCTGAGAGATCTATGGTGGTTGATGGGAGTGAGTGATCTCTCCACTGTGAGTGAGCTAAGTTCAGCCGACAGCGAACCACCGACTGGTCTGTTCATGGATGTGGATAAACTAAACACACGTTTCATCAGGTTTTAGTTTATTTATTGGCTTCCCGTGAGGATCTTTAAATCTTTAGGTGTTTCTCTTTGTGATTTACAACAATTAGGATGTAATTGTCTGGAAATAAGGGACTGTGTGTGTGTGTGTGTGTGTGTGTGGTTATATTATTGATTTGCATTCATCTGCGCATGCATGATACAGCTCTGCAGTTTGTGTGTCTGCGCACGTGCACATGTGCATGGGTGAGAGCATGCAGCACCCTGCTCTGCTGCAATGCAGCACATTTCGCACATCCCGAGGTCGCCGTCGTCCTCTGCTGGGGCACTCTTCCAAGGTCGCAGCAGGTCAATCCTCTCCGTCTGCACGCCCAGCTGCGACAAGACTAAATCTGCAAACACCAAATCTGTCAGCTGGTGGAACAACCAGGCGCCAGCAAGAACCAGAGAGCAAGATAAGCACTCTGCAGCTGCACGATAACTGTAATCCAACAACCAGGAGACATGAAACCCACCCAGATGATCAGCTGCTGCAGGACAAACATTCTGCAGGCAAAGACACAAACTCCAGTCTGGTGTCATTGAAGCTTTGAGTTGTTGAAGGTTCAAATGCTGAATGAATTCTCTTCATGGGATCTGTCATGAAGCACGAGTGTGCTTCATGACAGATCAAAAACAGCCTGGTTTTAACTTATTATACCAGGAAAGTACTTCTGAATGTTTACACAAAGACCAACAGAAGCATAAAGTCTAAAAATGTGGATTTAGAAAATAAAGAACACATTTTGTTACTTTATTTAAAGAATAACAAATGTACACTCTATCCTTTGGGTTCAGAAAAATACAGTTTTACTTTCAGATCTGCTGTGGAGTAACGGAAAACTGGGAATGATCAAGGTCAAACATTCATTCAGCGAGGAGTTAAAACAAAGGGAATAAATATAATAACCGCACACCAAAGGACACCATAATGCTTAATGCTGGTTTTAATATCTTTCAATTGTTACCAACTGCGCAGGGAACTTTATTTTTGTTGTAAATATTGTAAAATGTCAGATATTTAAAATTTTCTGCTGCCAAATCTCTTCATAAGCTTCACTGTTTGTGTCTATTTATTGTCTTTAGGATTTTAGATGCTAACAGTCAGAAATGAATGTTTTTATTTTATGATTTGGCCTTTAAATGGTTGCATTCAGTGACAAGTAAACAGTTGAATTTGCATCACCACTCTGGAAAAGAGAAGATTTTCTAATGAATGTCTTAGCTGAATTGAGTTTATAACATTTTTTAAAGGAAAGAAAAATTAAGTTTTCTATGAAGTAAAATATTTTTGAGATTTCACACTTTAATGGTAGAAGAATTTATTCTGTACATATCACTGTTTCCTTCCCAGGACTTTTCATTTCACATGTTTTGATGGTTCAGGTATTTGGCATTTTGGGTCTCAGCACTCCACACTTGACTGTCTAGTCCAAAGCTAAGGCAATTAAAAATGGAAACTAGCTAAAAGCCTGGGGGGATGTATTAAAGCTTTAGCTATGAAGCTTTGCTGGGGCTCAGAAGGGCTCAGGAACCCTGGTAGATGGGTATGCCTGAAGGAGGAAGTGATTGAAGGGCGGACTGATGTCTGCAGGGGAAGAGTGGAAGAACGTCTGACGAAGTGTCAAGGACCACAAGCCATGGATCTGGCATTCGTTCAAACTGTTGATGTTCCCTGCACATCCCGGACCGTGAGCGCTCCAACATTCTTCTTTGTTGTTTTACTCTCATCCAAAGAGCTTAGGCTGGCTTTAGCAGTAACTCGAGCTAACATTAGCAGTAACTCGAGCTAACATTAGCAGTAACTCGAGCTAACATTAGCAGTAACTCGAGCTAACATTAGCAGTAACTCGAGCTAACATTAGCAGTGGCTTGGGCTAGCATTAGCAGCGGCTTGGGCTAGCATTAGCAGCGGCTTGGGCTAGCATTAGCAGCAACTCACGCTAACGTTAACAGTGGCTCGGGCTAGCGTTAGCAATGGCTCGTCTAGCATTTTCTGTGGTTAGCATTACCACGACCAGTGTTATACACTGCTAACGCTGGAGTGGGTTGGGATATGCTAATGTAAGGATGTAATAAGCCATCTTTTCTCAGAAAGAACTGTTTCTCAGCTGCAATTAAAGGAAAGCAGGTCAGAGACGGCACAGACTGTGGTCTTACCCTCTAGGACCGGTTTAACTTAAGTCCAGGTGTAGGGTCATTCCTCATTCATACCTCCAATCACCTGGTGGGCCCATTTCATGTTGATTCACATACCCTTCCTATCCCTCTCCTCCACCCTACTCCCTCTTTTACTCCTCGGCTAGGATGAGTACTGCTAACACAACGGTTTTCAGGTTAGCTGCGGGCGACAGTGGCACAGGAGTTACGTGCTTGCCCTGTTGCAGGTTGTCCTTGGGCAAGACCATCGACATATAAATATTGGACAATGGGTTTCCATAGGCTCCAATAACACATTTTTGAGGCCAAATGGGAGGTGGCCACCACCGCCATTTTAACCGTGTCACAGGTTCCGTCAAGCCCAGACAATTCCACACAAGGGAAGAGAGGTGGAGCTGAGGGTGGGGCTGTAAGGCTGGGATCAACTGACAACACCCGGTCGAACTAGCTACAAGCTAACCCAAAGCTAATGCGGAGGTGGGAGCTAAGCTAACGGAGGTAGCAACCTGCTACAACCGGAGTTAACTGTGCACAACACCAGAGCTTCTGAGTCAGAGATACGCCGGGCTGACCGCTG